CCTAAGTTCCTCATCTGTGGCAAGCTCATAAGCAAAGGGACTTCTCCTTCTTCAACTATGTCGAACTCTGTATGGTGGATCGTCCATGCACGATCATACATGTAAATCACCAGTTTCTGCGAGCAAGAAGCCTTCTGAGAATTTGCAAAGTAAAACTTGCTCTTGGTAGACTCAAAAGAGTACCATAGTCCACAGTCTGGATGATTGTCGACATAGTTACAAAAATAATCGACTGCGCGCCTTGATCCCATAGCTCTAGTGCATCCAATGTCCAGGATTGCAATAGTTGGCGGGAAGCGATTCTCAGTCAAAAATGAAATAGCCTGCATCTCCTTCACTTCTTCCTCAGCGCTCATAAGCGCAAAGCCATCAGAAGCATCTGTGAGCATCTCCTTTGACAAAGAGTACCTCGCAAGGGCACTCATGTGATCGAAGATCGTCTCTCCATTGTTGACATTACAGTCAGCTTCATCTTGACATGAGGTCATCATGCCTGACAGCAAGTCCACCTCACTGTCATGGACTTCAGCTCTGTTGTCACACAATGTGCAAAGAAACCTTGGTTGCTTCCTGATGCTTGTGAAGTTCTTGAAGGTGCAGGTAAAGAACGTGGCTGTTGTTGATTAGCATAGTTTGCATCTTGTTTGCCATCTCCTTTATCTTTTCCTTTTCCTTTCTTGCCTTTTCTCTTGCCTTTTCCTTTTCCCTTGTGGGAAAACCATGCTTCTTCAAGCTGTTGCCAAAAGTCATTGGCATCTTCATATTCTCCTTGAAGATAGTCATTCATATCTTCGGCAAGAATAGCATCATATGCTACTTGATTTGACTCCCAAGTGTCCTCATAAGGATTCTCTTCAAAATACTCATCTGGATAAGTTGTCGATTGCTCATCAGCATAATGGCCTTTACCTCGTCTCTTTCCTTTTCCTTTTCCACGAGGTCTGAAAAATCTGCGGCCTGATCTTCCTTTTCCTTTTCCTTTTCTTCTACCTTTTCCTTTGCCTTTTCTGGCTCTTCTTCCTTGGAATCTCCTCTGGAACCAAGAGAAATTCTGTTGAGAAATTCTGTTCATCATATACCCAAAAGACATCGTCCAGGGCATCAAGGAATCCTTCTGTTCCATCTTCTTCATCTTCGGCCCAATAGCCATATGTACCATCGAGTTCTCCTTCGTCTAGTACGAGAAATGATCTTCTACCTCCAGCACCTGTTGGCTGCGTCAGAGGATTGTCTACTGAAGTCTTTGTTGTGCAGAACATCTCAATGAAAACTGTCCTCAACTCTGTTGTGGTGTATTGCTGCAGGACTCTACCACGATGTGTCATCAAAGAGGTCAAAGTGTTCCTCTGGTCCTGAGACAAATCCGCAAGTGACAGCATGAGTAAGGCAATGAGATTCTCTCCTAAAGGAAAATCGTTCTGATGAAGAATTCTCATATTGCCATTGACATTCTGCGTAATTTCCTGAATTCTCTCTGCTGTTGGAGCTACTCCAGTCATCGCTGCATCAGCTTGCATCTGTGCTTGTACCTGAGGATGTACTTGTGTTACTGGGTCCAACATGTCCATCCAGCTGCTCATAAGCCTTTGGAGTAGGATCTGAAATCTTGTCATCCATTTCATCATATCAGCTGATCCGCGATTGAAGCGCACGAATTGCATAAACCTATACAGGAATACATTGGTGGATCCCTTCACAAAATATGGACGTAGTACTCGTTTGAAGTATTCTACTCCTGCTCCTGGTGGATCATTCGCCTTCAATGCATCTCTGTCTAATACTCGCTTGTATACAGCTGCTTCTCCTTCTAGTCGGTTTCTCAATGCTGGTCCTCTCTTCTCATCCTCCAGCTCGGTGATATCACACCAATCGTCTATGGCATCCTCATAGGAAAACCATGAAGTCTTTCCATCATAAGATGGGGGGCACCTTTGTAGTGACCTGTGTTGTCATTGCTATCGCTGCTGGTTCTCTTCTCACATGCCTATTCACATAGGCTGCTGGCTCATAAGCCACATCCGCATCAGGCTCTTCCCAGTCGTCAATCCAATCCATGGCCGTTTGCCCACAAGCAAGTCTATGCCTAGGAAAGGAGCTCACCTGGGTCTTCCAGGATCACAGCTCCGCTACCACTGAAAGAGTGACTAGGGCGTACACGGTTGAGGTGCAGACCGCTAGTGTCTTTTATGCGCAGAGTCTTATCCTCTTAGCGTCTTGAGCCTTGAGGCAGTCAAGCATGGACACACTAGATAGGCCACTGGAGTGGAACCTGTACAAGTAGGCCTCTACATTTCAGGGGGGGGGTTAGCTTGATATATCAATCTTTAAGGCGCGCAGCCCCTCCCACCACAACATTGCTAAAGCAAAGAAGAACTCAGCTAGCATGCTAGCTTTCGTGACAAACAGCAGTTCCCACCAATGAGGCGGACGAAAACAACAAAAGAGAAATTGAGGAAGGAGAACCACAGGAGCAACCTCCTCTGAAGAGACTGAGACATGAGTACCTCGAGATCTACCTTAACAAGGTGGACAACCTGATGAAGAGCCGACAGAGAAAAGAGATCCGCCTTCAAGAGCTGAGCAGCACAAATCAAAAATTCTTCAAGGCCGCGATTGGCAAGGAGTTCAACAACAAGATCAACATTAAAACGTGCTCCATCGTCTCTCCAGAAGAATCAGCCAAAGTCCGACAAACAATGCCACATCGAATCATGGAGAGTAGACGGGTTCTTACACCGAAACCACTGGAACCTCATGAAGTCGAACCAGCCAAAAAAGAAGGAACCCTACTGGATTGGACTCCGAAGAACCCTGCAAGGCCAAAGCCAGACATGCGATGAAAGGATTCAGCGAAGAAGGATCCGAAGATATCGAGGCAACAACGCCTCAAGTCACCCGAGAAGGCACACTCATGGTGGCCCAGCTGGTGGCAAGTCATCGCTGGAAGCTTGGCTTTCGAGACTTCACCCAAGCGTTCCATAGTGGAGATGCCATCGATCGACTTCTGTACGCGAAGGCATACCCGGAGTAGCACCATGCCAACTTCTCAAGCTGGAAAAAGTGTGCTACGGCCTCACAGATGGCCCTTTAGCTTGGTGCAACCACCTCAAGAAATTCTTGACAAGTCAACTGCAGTACCGACAGTCCCTGGCAGACCCTTGCATCTACTACAAGCGCAAGCTCAGTCCACACCGGAGAACCGGTACTCAGTGGCATCATTGCTGTTGCTACGGACGACCTTCTACACGGAGGTGATGAAGAACATCAAAGAGCAATGGATCAGATCAAAACCAAATACAAACTTGGCAAGTTCCAATATGGAGCCGGAAAATTTGCTGGAAAGATGTTCGCGCAACAAGAAGACTCCAGCATCATCGTGAACCAGGAGAACTACATCCAGGAGAAGCTCTTCGAGATCAACCTGGAAACGACAGAAAAAGAGGTATACCTTTTGCAATGAGAAAACATCCATCCAGTGGCATAAAATCATGCCTATCAAGCCACCAGAGAACCTGAGGATCGGAGTGGCTACCGACGCTTCATGGTCAAACGCCAGAAGACAAGAACAGATAGAACACAGCTCACAGGACTACTGGGAGGAAAGACCATCTCATTGGATCCGACATCACGTCTTAGACGAGTTCTTTTCCACCCACGATGACAACAAGTGAAGAGACATTAGAAGATGAATGGACAAAAGGGAACAGTGTCAGACCTGGTCGGACACTACTTGGACAGGCAAAACCATCTTCACGAAGCAGCTTCCAGGACATGAGCTTGAACATGGAAAGATCAATGACACCTTCCTCAAGCTCTTGAACTGCAGCAGCCAAGGAGGCTACGTGATGATCTTCTATGACAAAAGAATGGAAACTGAAGACCGACCTCATATGGTCTCAGTGACGTCATGGAAGTCAACAAAACTCAAAAGAAAGACGGTCAACACCCTGAGTGCCGAATGTCAGTCGCTGGTTCATGGCATTGGCCATATCCACTGGCACCGCTACCTCCTTCTTGAACTGATGGGCACGGCCATGGAATCCAAAGATTGGGAGCGGCATTTGGCAGCCATCCCCCGTCTCAGTAGTTGATTCTTGGTCGCTATACGACTGCATCAACAAACTGGTGTGCACCTGCTCTCAGGTTGAAGACAAGAGAATGGCTATAGACATCGCCATCTTGAAAGACGATCTTTATAGATCGGGGGGGTCCTTACGTTGGGTAGCTGGTGATAACATGATCGCGGACCCCCTTACGAAAAAAATGAACTCCGATTTCCTTAGATGTGTTTGTAACACTCACTCTCCGAAACAGGCCATAGAACACAATGCACAACGCATGACGTTCTCTCGGCCCCGCTTGGCCGTTAGAGTAGCGCCGGTGTGAAAATGCACTGGACGCCCACGCTCGACTCAAGGCAAGCACTTAGGAGCCAGAGACTCGATGGGGGCTTTGTGTCCACCAGAAAAAGAGTCTTGTTCTTGCTTGTTGGGTCTGTTGCGGTTCCCCCAATGCCAGCAACCTACCTCACTTGTTCCCAACGGTCCGACTGTCGCGACATGGCTTCCACACTTCACAGAATGATTTCCAGACCAGTCTTCCCTTCTTGTTTTGCGACTGCGCTTGGCACCCTGCCACGACATGGTTTATGATCGCCGGCGGATCATGATAGCGTGCGCTCCGTGGCTTGGCGACCCTCCCTTCATGAATCTAACGCAAGCTTAAGGGCATGTTTCTGAAAACGCGCGCTTGTACCTGTTGTAACGCGCAAACGCATGTCTGAAAATATGCGTGGGATCGCGCAGGTATACTTTTGAAAGGCCCGAGTTTGACTGTGGAGCGTCATGTTTCCAAGAAGGGGTGCTGGTATTGCTCTCAACGCAGCACACAGGCACACATGCGCAACGGCATGCTTGCAGGGACAGGTTGATGCTTGTATGCTCAAAAGGCACGTGCGTTTCTGATGGGAGCTGCCGTGCCCAAGGTCAGGCCACTCTGTCCTGAACCCCACTCCAGTTCCACAGCCTGCTTGTGTTTCATTGAACCAATACCCCCTAAAGTCGCTGAGCCAGCCAGCTTCGCACCTGGCAAAAGCTTGGCGTGTGGCGGTCAATCCAGCACAAAATCTTAATTTTTTGAGCCATGCAAAACTTGTCGCGAAAAAGGCACCTTGGGTGTCCTTCAATGTCTGCCTTCGCGCACAAGCCATCGTAACCCGCCGCTTGGCAGGATGAGTTTGCTGCTTCCCGGGTATGATAAATGTAGCCTCCTTTGTACCTCAGCAAGCAAAAAACAGTCATTGCCCACGTATTTGGGGCACCTTCCGCTTTTCATCTTAGGTGCGCAGGTGCAGGGTGACAGCAATAGGCGCCCGCTGGATTTTGGTTGCTTCCATCACGGTATCCAGCGCCTGTACCGCAACCAGTTTCTGTCTTATGGTACCAGTAGCCCTTGTAGTCGCTCATCCATCCAAAGGCACAGTGAGAATACCCTGACCCGCCGCGACGAAACTTGGACATACGCAACACCAAAACTGTACGAGGCACAGGCAAAAAGAAGAACTTAGCGTGATTTAGCTGACCGTCCTTTTGTCTCAGCTTTCGAGCATAATCCTCGATAGCCTTTTGATCGGCAAGCGCTTGCTGCTGCATCCTTGGTTGAGTATACGTAGCCACCCACCTTGGTGCGCGACTCGCCGGAAGTATGTTTGCCACCGTGTTGGCACAGCTGACTTGACTCGGGACGAAGCTTAGCGCGAGAGCCTTTGTACATAAACATAAACTCATGACTCCGGTCATCTCTTTCGGAATTGTTGGTTTGGTTTTCTTGCTTGAGCGCATTGTTTGGCCCATGGCCAACGGTCGCAGTCACACAGATGGCCCAGAGCATACAGCTCGAACACGGTTTTTCCATATGCCCAGCGGCCTTTCTCAGCTGTTGCGATTTTGAAGCTTGAGCGCGCACGTCAAAGGCAGTCAGGCTGCTGCCATCATTTGCCAACACGGTAGAATGATTTATGGCTTCGGGTTTCCTAAAAAATTGCTGCAGTAAACGCAACTTCTGCCTATTTCTTCAGGGGCTTTGCAAGAAAGGTGGAAGTTTGTTGGGGGCCGCCTTGGTGAAAGGCCTTTGCTACCAACCATTCTTGTAAAGAAGCGTGCCTGCGTGAGCACTAGCGTGAGCACTACAAAAGTGCAATACGTGATTAATCTTGTTATATATGGAGGGAGAAAGGACACATGATGCCCAGAAGATCCCAGAAGTAAGCAAACCCAGGAATGGACCCAAGAAGTTTGCCAGCGTGGCAAACTGCATGCGGTGGCCTTCGAGGGGGGGCATCAGCAACGCGGGGTGATTTTTCTCCAGATAGCGTGGGCTGTCGGGGTTCTTCCTGCCGGTATAGGAAGAGCTGCGTGTGTGCGTGTTCGGGCCTGGGCGCTGGCGCCGTTGCAGGGCGCCGCTTCTGTGTGCGCTTGGGAGCTTGTGCCACTGCAGGGTGCTGCTGCTGCTGCTGCTCCTCCTCCTGCTGCTGTGTGTGCTTGGGCGCTGGTTCGGCTGCGGTGTGACGCTGCCACCGCCGCCTGCGCTTGGAGGTTGGCTGGTGGTGCTGCTGGAAGGCGCTGCAGCGTGCCGCGGCAGCGTGCTTTTTGCATCTTTTTGCTATCTGGGGTCTATGCTGGCGTAATTAATTTTTGCAAAAACGCACGTGGATTTGCAACCGTTCATTTTCCACGGAAAGGTTCAGCTACACAGGTCGACTCACATTGGCCCGTTTCCACTTCAACAACAAGAATCAGCAAATACCAGCCAGCAACACCTTGACAAGGGTGCAATGTGCAATGAACAGCTTCCACTGCGCTATATGAGCGGCCGGCAAAATTAAAGTGAAAAATGATCGTCGATCGTTTCTACTGAGGCTTCGTTTTTGGTTTTCCGGCTTCGCTAAATTACCACTAGACAGACTAGACCACTAGACATTTACAATGTGAAGTGCAGCAAAGGAACTTCTTACAGTACATGGCATTTGGGGCAGGGCCTACAAACGACACTTTTTCGTGGATTTATGGCTTCGTTTTGAGACACCACATTTCACGCACTCCAAGATGGTATTCACACATGCACACATATGACCAAGAGGCTTCGTTGTTTCTTTTCCGGCTTCGTTTTCTAAGGAATGTGCAAGATTCTGCAAGATCTCACCAAAAAAGATCAAATTGATATAAAACCTTAACGTTATGATTTTGAGGGTGGCTCATATCTTCGATGTAGGACCAGTAGTCAAGCAAAACGCACGTATCTCACAACCCTCCAAACCTAGCAAGAGACAAATACGGTCTGAGAACCCTCCAAACCATCAGTCGTGGCGGGAACTACCGAGCGCGCGCGCGTGCGCGCGCTCTTCTGTCAACCTACCCGCCCTTTATTTAGTCAACTATCAACACCTCCACTGTAGGGTGCTTCAAAGGATTTCGCTTCGGCATGCTTGGATATCCTTGGCATGAAAAGCAGGCTCCTACAATAGCAAGACATATTTGGCGTTGCTTCGGAAGGGGTAGGAAAATGACATGGGTTTCGTTGGCTTTTTGTCCTTCAAAGTGTCTGTGGAGCATCCAAGAGCTGTGAAAACGTTGGATCTGCAGCCGGTCATCCCAATGTCAATCCCTATGGGAGTGCGTAAGCTTTTGAACATGTGATCCATGACCGCCGTGGGGGATGGCAATGAAAAAACCTGTTGGGAAATAGATTTCAAAAGCAACCAAGATAATTGTTCATATGACGTTATATGCGCAAACGCCGTCGACACAACTTGAGTCGCGCGCGTAAGTTCTCTGAATGAGTGGGGAAATGTGGCAGCAATACGCACCCACTGCATTTTCGCTGCTTCCGTCGCGGAAGCCCTCGCCATTGCCACAGCCGGCGCTTGTCTTATCGAACCAGTAGCCTTTGTAGTCACTCATCCAACCCCACGCACAGTGGGCCCATCCTGAAACAATATAGCTTCAAAACACACGTACCTTGACCTGAGGACCTGCCCAGTCACCCCCAAGCCTTCCACCTCAGCTTTGGTGCAAAGACCTTTCCAGCCCAATGATTGACATTTCGCTTCCGCCAGCTCTCTGGTGGCATAGTCGTAACCGCCCACCTTGGTCCAAGTTCGTGCAGGCTTCGGATGCTTCGGGCTAGGCCAATTATATATACAACAGGATATCGTCAGCTCTCTGTGTCAAACAATTGCCACAATGAAAGGACCTGGAAGCAAGACGGAGCGGAAGGAAGAGGAATGATAGTGGATGGTGGGCGGTGAGAGTGAGAATGTCGCTGTGAGTCTGTGAGTGAGAGTGAGAGTGACAGTGAGAGTGGGCATGAGTGTGAGTGAGCGAAGGGGTTGGCGTGAGATGAGTTGGCGCGAGATGATCTGGTGTGAGTTGAGTTGGTGTGAGTTGAATTGGCGTAAGCGAGTTGATGTAAGTTGATGCAAGTGAGTTGAGTTAGTATATCAATGGACTGGAGCGGTGGGTGGAGGACAGCTCGAAAAGAAGCGTGAATAATGTCGGTAAAAGAGAAACGCCACACTAACAATCGGCGACCAGTGCAAGCAATGTGCCATAGCTTGTGCGCAACAAGGTGGCACCGAGCCATGTTCACACCAATCAGTCATCAATGCGCCGCGTTTGAGCGCGCGTGGTTTCCGTTCCCCAGAGGCACGGAGCCACGCAAACGCTCGCCGCGCGCAACCGCATGACACAGCGACATCATGTCGCCACAGTGCGCGACAAACTGCATGCTTGTTGACGCTTCGCCAGGAAGACCCCTCAAACAAAAGGACACCAAAAAGATCCAAAAAGAACATTCACTTGCGCGCAGCAGGTTCGAACAAGAAAGATGTCCTTAGGGAGCCTTCCTAGTGAAAAATGCAAATGAATTAAAACTTCGCGCAAGACTGCTCCCACCGATCTTCTTTTCCCAGCTTACAGGTGCCGCTAAGTTAGGGGAAAGGCGGCAGGAGCGATTGGCCGAGCCGTGCGTGCCAATGCTGAAGGCAAGCATTCTGCGATGGGGGGAGACCTTGACAGTCCCCCCGAAGGAATGTGGGAGCAGCGAACGCAAATGATTCCGCAACAATCCAAGCCCTGCGAGACGCGGTGCCCAAGAACATCCAGTCGCAAGTCGCAAGGTCAGTTCTCTTCACGCTTGGTTCCAATATGGCCACGCCAACAAGTAGATGTATGCAACCAAGCGACACCGACCGAGCCTCTTTGACACCACCAACCGTCCTGCTCACAAGCGCTTACGCAGTGACATCACGCCCATTCTCTCCCCTTGCCTGCCACAACAAAGGTTTCGAGAAGTTCGGAAACATGCGCTTAAACATGAATGCGTGGTCGCCATCGAGAGCGTGACAGGGTTCAGCAGCCCAAGGGGCTCCGCCCGCTGATGCACCCATAGGCACCCCCCACCCTTGGAGCCATCAACGGCCCAGGAGATCCCGCTGGCTGCCACTGGCCCTCAATGTACGGTGGTCCACCAAAACCAAACCAATTACAAAAGCTGTTTGGTCTTTTAAGGTTAAACATCCCTTTCAAACTCTGTCTCCAACAAGTTACTTGTCCTTCGCCACCGTTGCCTTCCGGCGTGGCATAAAGCCCACAAGGATACGCAAAGAACTACAAACCCTAAGCCCTAAGCCTAAGCGTTGCAATAGCAGAACGCACCTGAACGATCCTGAACGCAAAAAAACATGCCACAGTCAGCGCACCAAAAATTAAGCTTGGCTCTAACTCTTGAACTCGCGCATAGTCTTTCGCTAGAACCCTGCTGGGCTCTGTTGCTTAGTGGGCACCAGCGGGAGCAGCTTTGCTGCCCAGTGACAGCCACGCCAAACAATTGTTTCAGGCTTCAGCATTACGAATGCAGACTTCCTGCAACATTTTGGGTAACGGCAAGAAGTGAAACATCTTAGATGTCCACAGGCTGCGTGCGGGCGCATTCACTTTTGATAACTTGGGTTCGCTTCACAGCGGGAACATCCAAGTTTTTCTCTTGGATATGGAACCGTGTCAGGCTTTCAGCTAATGTTTTTCTTGCGTAATACGCAGCTGGCCCGTGGTGAAGGATTCGCTTTAACCCTGCTCCCTTGACAGCGACATTGCCTTGAAGTAAACTTCAGGCCGCTGCCAAAGACCCTTTGCTATTTGCTAGGAGTTTCGGCTTTCCTGCCAAGTCCAGGATCGCGGGCTCATCTTCAAGACGCAACTTCTACCCATCCTGAACTAGAGCGAAAAGCACAGAGAGGTTGCGTGTTCCCCTTGCATTGCCCCCAACAGATGACAGGAGAACCAAAGAAATCGAGACTACAGGCTACTTGCAAACTGAGCCCAACTTTGCAGGCGTCAGTGATCCATAGTCCATATTGCGAATCGCCCAACATGTCTTCCTCGATTAAAAGCAGGCCACAATCTTCCAAAGAATTCAATGCTTTTGATGTGAAGAAGGCTAACTCATCCTTCGGAGCAGCTCTTACATCTGGCAACACCACAGGTATCAACTAGACGACGGATGGCCCGAGAGCGTTTAGATGTAGAGTTACTCTGGTGTAAGGTATGCTTGCATTAGGATGAAACAGTAAAGAGAAGAGACTTGTTGGGTGGTGAGAGAGAAAGTGAAAGAGATGGTGAGAAAAGGATGGATGAAAAGGATGTTCCCTAAGAAAGAAAGCAAAGATGTCTTCCAGTCGATGTTCATGTATGCATTTTTGCAAAAACTGTTTGGCCTCAAGTCCTCCCAACAGATGTCGTCCAGTCAAGGTTTTAAACAGTTTGCGCGCGTTTTTGAAACATGATATACTGGGTACCGGTGACATAGGACTTGTCGCTACCAGTGACTTAGGATTAGCGGTTCCCAACTCCTAAGTCATCAGCGAACGGCAAAGTGCACGGTACAAACCCAGTCCAAACTAAATGCTGATGACTTAGGACTTGTGTACGAGGCACCTCCAGGCGCCTGCATCATATGATCAAACAATCTCCGGAGCTAACCATTTTTCGCCGCGTTTTTCTTTGTTTTAGCCTGATGACTTAGGACTAGTGCTAAAATTTCAAATTTTAACATTTCCCAATGACTTAGGACTTAGGATTAGTGTTTCTGCAGCCTTGTCCGGCTAATCCTGGGTCACTTGTACCCAGTATAAACATGTATGCGCTCAGGTCCTGCCCCAAAAAAGATTTCAAGGCGATGTTTATATTTGTTTGACCTGACCTTCGGACTTTCTTCTCCGCCCATGCAAGCTTGTGCGACCGAAGCTCTCCAAGTGCCTGTAAACTAAGGAGAAAGGCGCGAGCTTCCTTCCACCGCCCTTCAAACGCAAGAGCCAGGCTTAGGCTGCAGGGTGGGTGTGGTGGGCTATTCTTGGCCGACGAAGGTGGAAAACATGAGAGTCATGTTAGACCTGACCTTCTGGTTCTCCAAAAACAAGCGGACTTTCTTCCGAGCTTCCTTCCAAGCCTTGTCAGAGCGGGCCAGGCAACAAATGACTGTCCAGCGTGGCCTTCCGCACAGCGGACGCTGTAAAGACCTCAAGAGTGAGGGCCTGGAATGCCCTAAAAGTTGGAACAAACATGCAAAGTTCAAAAGCCTCTGACGTGTCTTGGCATCTAAGCTAGCTAGAATTAAGGCATAGAATGTCAGCCAAAAAGTTATTTTAGTAACTATTTTTATTTATGATTTTTTTATGACTTTTTTTTTAATGAATTGGAAAATTGCATTTTTTGGTTTATGATGTTTTTTTAAAATGATTTCTTTATGATTTTGTTATGATTTTTTTATGGTGCATTTTATGATTTTTTACGATTTCAATTTGCTTTTCTGATTGTGTTTCTGCTTTTGGGCCCATTCAGAATATTGCTACAAAAGTGTTTAATTTGACGTTTTCTTTTTCTATCTATATTTACTAAAATCATTGCTACTATACCCGAAGAATGTCCTCTCCGACTCTCTGTGTGGCGAGCAAGCCAGTAAAGTTATGTAATGCTCCTCATGGTGGCACAGACACACACTTATGGATATGCGTGCTGACTGACAGCGGTGCCACACGCCGGCCTAGGGTACCAATTCCTAAGAGTACATGTACGAACCCCTGGATCCTGGAGGTCTTCAAAAGGAAAGGTGGCCCAAAGCGTAAGCCGGAAGCGAAACGACGGGGTGACGGCGTAGCGTGCAAGTCTGCGGAACTCAACTCAGAAAAGTTAAAATGGATGATCAGTCCACCCCTCCCTCGTCATACCGTAGCTTCGTTGCGTACGGTGGGTATGACGAGCCGTACTCCCCTGCTGATCAAAAGAACAACTGTAAAGTACAATCCGTAAGGATCCCTGTTGACTACAAGGGGCACACACACACACACTCGCATTTCGAAACACTCCGGATCAATCCCTGAAAGCTTGAAATTCCACAGCCACAAGTCTTTTTGAAACGCGCGAATAAAGGTTCTACATGCCAAATCATTCTTCAAGCCCACATGCGCTGCACTGCCAGAAGAAAGCAGAACAGTTGACGCACAGGTGTTCTCGCTACAAAAGACCTAATCACTTTCACCTGTTAACCTATTACTTAACTAAGGTGTCTAATGTTGTGCAAGGTTGTCTCAAACCCTTTGAAACCCTTAGCCCGTTTCCAGGCCAAAACTAGGTTTTTGCCTTTCAAACTACATAATCTCTTGGCTGCAAAAAATTGCTTCTACATCAAAAAATGCACTAGCAAGGAAAAGCTTCTCCTCGTTGCAACATACATTACTTGACCGTTTGCTTTTGCAATTGTTCTTTTCTACTTTGAAACACAAGACCACAACCTTGCATGTACTTGTTTTGCCCTAACCAATGGAAATATAGAGTTATATATATATATATATGGTACAGGTTTCTGGGCTTGCCAGCTACAAAAACAGAAATGCACCCTGCGTTGAATGTTAGAGCAACTCCCCAGGTTCTTGAGCTCTTTTTCTGCTGGCTGTCAGCTTCTCGTGGCTGGCCTAGTCTTGAGCGTCTTCGGGCAACTTGCCAGTTCCCGTGCGGCAAAAGCAGGTCTAGGCCAAATTTGAGCTCGCGTGTAAGCAAGCCACGCAAAGAACACGAATAGAACCTTTTTCGA